TGCCGGCCCTCGCACTCACGTGTCCCGTCACACCCTTGGTCCCACACAGCCCTCTCTGTCTTAGGGGCCAGGCTCTGCGAAGCAGTGTGATGAGGACATCTACCTGGAGTGTGAGCCCAGTTCAGGTGAACACCTCCCTGCTCCCCAGATCCCTCCGCTGAGGCCCCAGCTCCTGACTCCATTTTCTGCCCTTGTCTTCTCACCACCCCACCGACACACATTAGCCTTAGACACACACATGGACACACACGCTTCCACCTTCGGTGCAGGTTGACCCCCACTGTGGCCACAAGGGAGGGGACCCCATAGAGCAGCCCTGTGTGTGGGCTCCCAGCTGTTGCAGCCTGGTTGGAAGGCTTCCTAGAAAGGCCCGCTGCAGGGAAGCAGCAGGCCCTGCTGTTGCCAGCCCCTGCCGGGCCTGCATGGCTTTCCTGGCCTGTTCCCAGCCCAGCAGGGCCTGCCTTCTCTTTCAGTCCCTGCCTGGCCTCAGACTCCGAGCTCCCAAGTCCTGATGCCCCCAGCCCCTCTGCCAAGGTCATCATCGGCAGTGTGCAGGTGAGTGCCCCAGGGTGTGTGTGTACGTGTGCCTGTGTGTGTGCACATGTCTGTGTGTGACTGTGTGTGCACATGCCTGTGTGTGCACATGTCTGTGTGCATGTGTGTGCCCCAGGGTGTGTGTGCATGTGCCTGTGTGTATGCCTGTGCCTGTATGTGTGTGCCATGTGCCTGTGTGTGCACATGCCTGTGTGTGCACATGTCCGTGTGGCTGTGTGTGCACGTACCTGTGTGTGTCTGCGTGTGTGTGCCTGTATGTGTGTGCCATGTGCCTGTGTGCGCGCTTGTGTGCGTGTGTGTGCATGCTTGTGTGTGCCTGTGTGTGTGTGCATGTGCCTGTGTGTATGTGTGAAGAGAAAGAGAGAGATGCACTCAGGCTTCCCCAGCCCTGGCCCTGGGGTCTCTGGGTTGCCTGGGCCTTTCTTTTTGAAGGAAGTGAAGACCCTGAGCTCTGTTTCCCTACTTTCCCCCCCGCAGGCCCTCCATGGCCCCCGAGGAAGCTCAGGGTGTAAGAGGCTGGTGCTCTGGGGGGAAGTGAGCTGGGCGGGAGGGAGTCTCAGGGGGGGACCTCAGGCCCAGAGAAGCCAAGTCTCTTCTGACCAGACCTCCTATGTCCCAGGGAGCAGCGAACACCACCTCCAAAGGTGAGTGCAGGCATCTTCAGTGAGAACCCAGGAGTCCTGCCCCGGCCCATTCCAGCCGCAGCCCCGCACACCCCACTTTGCTGAGGGGGTCCCGGCAGGTCTGCCCCCAGTTGAGAGCAGGCCCGAGGGGACCCCCTTGGCCATTTTCCAGGGTCTGCATCAAAGCAGGAGGCTCCCAGCGTGTACCTCAAGATCACCCCTCGATGGGAGGTCACGCGTGGCCTGCCTGATGGGTCCTACCAGAGCCCAAGAGAGGAGAGGAAGGGTGACACACTGGGTGCCCTGCTTTGGGTTTCAGCCCTAGGCACACACCCCTGCCACCTCCCCCACCCCTGCAGCTGCTCCAAGCCTCCTTTGTCTAACCCCTCCCAGCCCAGCCCTGTAATCTGCTCCCAGCAAGAAGGCGCGCCTCTCTTTCCTCTGCAGCCCCCACCGGAAGAACCTCAGCTGCGGAGGTGAGGAAGGGCTGGGAGAGGGCGGGGCGGAGGCCTGCGAGGAGCCCTCCTGGGCCCGCGTCCACCATTGCAAGGAACACGTGTGTGTGGCACCCGGCTGGGTACCAGCACCGGCATATCTTTGTTCAGCTTGCACAGACTCAGACTGGGAAGGCAGCTGTGAACACAAATCACTACCCGCTTGGTTCTCTGCTCCCTACCCCCACCCAGTGCCCCAACACACACGTCTCTGAGCTTGTGTGTGTGTGTGTGTGTGTGTGTGTGCGTGCACAGGACGGCAGCCTGCTGGGTCATCCGTGGTTCTCGGAGAACTGTGACCGTTACGCTGTCGAGAGTGCCCTGCTCCGATGCCAAAAGGTGGGCAACCGCAGAGCCCCCCCCCCCCCCGCCCTGGCCTTCTCAGGCCCCCCTTCTGCTCATGGGCTGTGGCTGGCTCAGCAGGCAGAGACTGCAGGGCGAGGGCTGGGGGATGGCCATCCAGGGTCGGGGCTGCCGTGGACAGCTGGAAGGCGAGGCTGATGGGCAGGTCTTCTCCACAGGACGGGGCCTACACCGTGCGCCCCAGCTCAGGGTCTCGTGGCTCCCAGCCCCTCACCCTGGCAGTGCTGCTCCACGGCCGGGTCTTCAACATTCCCATCCGGCGGCTGGATGGTGGGCGCCACTATGCCCTGGGCCGGGAGGGCAGGAACCGCGAGGAGGTGGGTACTGGAGGAGGCGGGGGACCAAAGGGCAACAAGGTCACAGCAGAGAAGCGCCCTGGCCCAGCCAGGAGCATCTGCCTGGGGAAAACCCACATTCTATATTTTTCTGTAGTGGGTGGAAATGACAATGGCCTGACCTGACAAAGGCCGTGACCTGAACCCCTTCCCAGAGGCCCACCTCCCTCTGGGGGAGGCACTTCCTCCCGCTTGTCTCAGTCTGCACAGGGCCTAGGTGGGGTAAGGAACCCGCTGGGAGGAGGCAGGGCTCAGGTAGAACAGACTCTGGTGCCCAGCACTTGCAAACTACAGTCACCCGCCACTCGGCTCTCATGCGGGAGGACAGGGGCAGGTCCCCGGAGTTATTGCCTTCTGGCCTTGGAAATAGGATTTGGCCAACACATGCCCATGGGTGTAGTCACAGGAACGTTGCGCAAGGCCTGGCACTGGGTAGCAAAATGGCAGTGGAGCCTCATGAGACAAACGGGAAGGAACATGTTTTTAAAAATGTCAACAAGCCCCTTCCCCAGAGGCAGCAGTTCCCTCAGGATGTTTCTCCCAGCATGAGCCCCCGGGCCTCAATGGTGCCCTGCCTCTCCGTGCAGTGCTTCTCCTCCGTGGCTGCCATGGTCCAGCACTACATGCAGCACCCCCTGCCCCTCGTGGACAGACACAGTGGCAGCTGCCAACTCACCTGTCTGCTCTTCCCCACCAAGCCCTGACACCCAGCGGACGCCCACACCCACCTCTGGCCCCATCAGTTGCTCCTTGCCCCATCCATCTGTCCACTTGGGTTGTCTCCCTCTCTCCACCACCCCCCCAGCCCCTCCTCATCCCTGTCCCAGTCTCTGCAGGCCCAGATGAGAGGCACTGGGAAAGGTTTCCCAGAATCAGAAAGGGCCCCGAGACCCCACGCCATGCTCACCCCGAGCCTGGCCCTGTGCTCTCTGCTGCCTCTCCGAGCCTGGGAGGCAGGCTCAGGCGGGCCCCCAGTCCCAGCCCCCAGGAATGGCCGTGTCCAGCCTGTTACTAGGGCCTCCAAGCTGCCCTGGATGAAGGCCTGCTCAGGGAACCTGAGCCTCCCGGGGACAGCCGGGCACTGCTGGGACACAAAGAATCCTCTCGCATGCTTTTGGGGGCTTAACACAGGGCTGGCATCTGGGAGGGACTTGGTTGCCCTGCACTATTTTGCTCTCAATAAATATTTGTTGAGCCCTAGCTGGTTTGGCTCAGTGGATAGAGCGTTGGCCTGCGAGCGGACCAAAGGGTTTGATTCTGGTCAAGGGCACACGCCCAGGTTGCGGGCTCCCTTCCCAGTAGGGGGCGTGCAGGAGGCAGCTAATCAATGATTCTCTCTCATCATTGATGTTTCCATCTCTCTCTCCCTTCCTCTCTGAAATCAATAAAATTATATTAAAAATAATTATAATAAATATTTGTTGAATAAATTCTTAAATTCTTGAATTTGCTGAGCGAAGCAGAGGTGGCCTCCGTGAAGTTCCGAGGTTCTCAAGTGTCCCAGGGCACAGACGAGGCCTGGGAGCGATAGGGGTGGCCAGCCCCCACTTCTGCACACTGACTGGGCCTTTGCCCTTCGATGGTCTGTGTGGAGGAGGAGGGAGGCCAGCCCCTGGGTGGCTGGTTTTGTTTAGCTTTATTTGGTGGTCGGAGAGGAAGGGGCGAGGCTCAGTGCTGTCTCTGCCCCTCCATAAATGGTCAGGATGGGGCAAGTACTTGTCCACCACCTGCTTACCCCAGGGAGACAGGCGGACCCAGGAAACCCTGCAACCTGGGCTCGCCAGGCCTAAGGAAAACCCTTGGCTCCGCGGTGGCGCTCGGCAGCCAGGCCCAGCAGGCTGCAGGGC